CTGGCGACCCGTGGGGCTCCTCCGCTGGGAATGTCCTGGTGCGGGAGCAACAAAAATTCGTCTGAAAGTGTGGCATCCTCTCGTTCACTGTGCTTTCACTGGAAGCTACAATCCTGAGCTGCTAGTGATCAGCCATCTTCTCTATTTTAAAAAAAAGTAATAATACCTAAAAAAAAAATCTTATTACCTTTTTTTTTTTTCTCTTTGGAGACGGAGTCTTGCTCTGTCACCCAGCCTGGAGTGCAGTGGCGTGATCTCAGCTCACTGTAACCTCCACCTCCTGGGTTTCAAGCGATTCTCCTGCCTCAACCTCCCAAGTAGCTGGGATTACAGGCACATGCCACCACACCCGGCTAATTTTTGTATTTTTGGTAGAGATGGGATTTCACCATATTGGTCAGGCTGGTTTCAAACTCCTGACCTCAGGTGATCTGCCTACCTTGGCCTCCCTAAGTGCTGGGATTATAGGTGTGAGCCACCAGACCTGGCCCCTTATTAATTTTAATCAATTTTTAAATTGACCTATTACAGTATAATTTACATACAATAAAATACGCACACTTAAATGAAAAGTTTGATGAGTACCCATGAAACCACCATCACTGCCAAGACACAGATCATTCCCATCAACCCAAAAGATCCCTCATACCCCTCTGCAGCCACAGTGCCCCTTTACCTTGGCTCCAGGCAACCACTACTCCACCTTTTGTCAAGATATCTCACTCACTTATTTTTTTTTCTTTTAAGGTAAGTCCCACTCTGTTGCCCAGGCTGGATTGCAATGATGCAATCTTGGCTCCCAGCAACCTCCGCCTCCCAAGTTCAAGTGATTCTCCTGCCTCAGCCTCTATCGGCGTGTGCACTACGCCTGGCTAATTTTTGTATTTTTAGTAGAGGCGGGGTTTCCCCATGTTGACCAGGCTGGCCTCAAACTCCTGAGAGGACAGAACTCCTCAAACACAGAGAAGAAGCTTTCTTACACCTCTTCAACATCTCCCATGAGTGCCCTGCACACAGACAGCAAGTGGTGAGTGAGGAGGACCAGGCGGTTCTCTGCTGAGGGGAGGCTCAGGTGATCCACCTGCCTCAGCTTCCCAAAGTGCTGGGGACTACAGGCATAAGCCGCCATGTCCAGCCCTCATTCACTTGTTAAATTTAAAAAAAAAATTAACTCTATATTTGGAAATTTTTCAAACATATGCACAGCAGAACAGTAGGATGAGGCTAGTTTATCCAACACCCAGCTTCAACAATGTTTAATGCATAACCAATCCTGTGTCAGCGATTCTCCCACCTACTCCCTTGCCTGGGTTATTCTGAAGCAAATCACAGACAGCATTTCTTTTCATATGTAACTATTTAATGTATATGTCTGTTTAAAGGGTATTCTTTTAAAATGTATCCACAATTTTCACACTTAACAGCAAATTTTTAAAATTTAATTATTTATTGTCAATATTCAATATAAAATAAATTTCTTGTCTTTTTTTTGTTTTATAAAATAAATTTCTTAATTCTATTAACACTGTCAAATAATCAGTGTCCACATTTCCCAAACTGCCTTACATTTTCTTCATTTTGTCTGAATCAATCATATATGACTATTGGTCATTCATCTTTCCAATCTCTTTTTATCTATAGGGGCTTTTTTCTCACCTTTCCCCTTATGATTTATTTGTTGAAAAAACTGGTCTGTTTATCCTATAATGCTGTTTGGAATTTGCAGATTCTATTCCCAAAAAGCCATTTACAATGTTTCTCCATCCCTCGTATTTCCTATAAATGCGCAGTAAGATCTAGATGTTTTATGTAACTCGGGATGTACTTCAGCAGCAAGGCTGCTTTATAGGTAGTAGCGCACACACATACATACCAGGAGATACATATAATGTCCCATATTCCTTTTCCTGTCTCACTTTTTGAAAAATACCATCTTTTTCCTCAAGTAACTAAAAATAAAAGCACTTACTGTATAATACTAGGATCATTTAATCTAGAAAAGTGTCACAGGATATCAACCCCCATTTTTGGACTATGCTGTTCCTACGAAGAGACAAGCAGTCCTTGAGTCGCTGTCTGAAATACATCATGGTTCTGCCCACCATCCTATGCCTGTCACTTTAAGTTATACACTGAACGTACCCTGATGCACTTGTCGTTTTGGGCATGTTCTAGTCCCCAATTACACAGAGAAGCCTTTTTACTACACCCCTTCAACATTACCCATAAGCGTCTTGCACACAGACAGCACGCGTTGAGTGAGGAGGACCAGGCGGTTCTCTGCTCTCCACTGAGGGAAGGCCCTTGATGCAGTCGGGCCCATGGGTTCTTCTCCACTCACTCTCCTTCACAGCCAGGATCTTTCCCACTTTCCCAACCGGAAAACAAGGGCACAGAGAAGAAACAGGAAGAGTGAAGCAGGGGAAGGTTGCACTGAGAACTCAAAATTCACTGGGGGTTCAGAAAACCTGTTGACTTTTTTTGTTGTTGTTTGAGACGGAGTTTCGCTCTTGTTACCCAGGCTGGAGTGCAATGGCGCGATCTCGGCTCACCGCAACCTCCGCCTCCCGGGTTCAGGCAATTCTCCTGCCCCAGCCTCCTGAGTCGCTGGGATTACAGGCACGCGCCACCATGCCCAGCTAATTTTTTGTATTTTTAGTAGAGACGGGGTTTCACCATGTTGACCAGGATGGTCTCGATCTCTTGACCTCGTGATCCGCCCGCCTCGGCCTCCCACAGTGCTGGGATTACAGGCTTGAGCCACCGCGCCAGGCCAACCTGTTGACTTAAGTGTGTTTCTACTTTAATGACTCCTCCTTCCCTTCGGGGAGACATGTGAGTCTAAACACTCAGTCTTTGAGAGAAGAGACTATAGACATTGTGTAGACAGGAACCAGAGGGCCTGGTCAAGTGATCTTCCTGTTCTCCTTGTCAGGACAAGTCCCTGCTTGAGAGATAAATAATTACTAAGAAAACAAGAATCAGTTAAAGAGAAAGAATCTGTGATAGGCTTGGGATGAGAAAGAAAAGAAAGTTATTTGCATCCTAAGGCCACTGCAGGCCTGTAAAGAGGAGGCATGCAGGGAAGTCAGTCATCCACAGAGAAGGCCTCCTCTTCTTCCCACTTTGATAAAACGTTCCTCCACCTGCAGCAGTGTTGCACTAATAGCAGCCACAAGACCCTTGCTGCCAGTCACCTCCCACTCTTCTCTCTGCTTGGCTGGCTCTTTACAACCTCCAGAAATAAAAGCTAGAATATCATACTTATTATGCTAATAATCATTCCCTGGTAAACGTAAGTTCCAGAAGCACAAGCCTCTGCTTACAGATAGCATAACTGCCAATGCACTTCTTCCTCATCCCCGCCCCCACCCAGGACAAGTACAGATTAAATTAAGAATTCTCAAAATTCCCAATGGTGTCAAAAGCATTTAAAGTTGCTGGGTCAAAGATTCATTTTTGCAGCAGACAACCACAAAGGATTTCAGTGTTACATACAGTGGAAATGATTGCAAGAAATTCTAAATATGGAGAGACCAGTAATTTAAATTCTTTTTCTAATGGCTAATACTTTTTTTTTCCAGTTCAATAGCTGATTCTAAGTCAGGCTCCAATTAAGGAAAACAAGACCCAGTTTTCTGGTTCCACTGGGATTTACTTGCTCAGGGATTACCTGCCAGTTGTGAACCTGGCTATGACTAATACAAGCATGTTTCAGAACAAAGAAACACCCTGATTACTGGAAGTCAAGAGCAAAGTAAAGTCCCAAACAAGGAACTCTGACTTTCCGTCTGGTGTGTTATCCAGCAGGCCACTGCCTCTGTCTCTAACCAGAAATTACTGTATACAACTATGAAGCCACTGGTGATAGAAATCAGAAAATAGAGCATGAGAGCAAAATCCCACAAGTAACGTCAAACACTACTAACACATAAAGTGGACTACTGAAGCAAATACCTGAAAAATAAGTATGAAAGTTGCCCAAATTTTTTTTGAGGCAGAGTCTTGCTCTGTCACTCAGGCTGCAGTGCAGTGGTATAATCTCAGCTCATTTGCAACCTTCGCTCCTTGGGTTCAAGCAATTCTCCTGCCTCAGCCTCCCGAGTACCTAGGATTACAGGCATGCACCACCATGCATGACTAATTTTTGTATTTTTAGTAGAGATGAGTTTTCACCATGCTGGCCAGGCTAGTCTCAAACTCCTGACATCAAGTGATATGCCCGCCCTGGCCTCCCAAAGTGCTGGGATTACAGGCATGAGCCACCATGACGGACCTGCCTAGATAGTTTAAACAGGACTAATTATCTTCAGTTACTTGAATACCTAATGTATCCCAGTTTTCTACTTTGTTTTACCTACAAAGGCACAGTTAGACACTGGTTAGAGTAAGACTAAAGGCAAAAGACACCCATGGTAACTCTGTTTGAATCTGTGAGTAACGTATATTTTCATACACTTTGAATTATGTAACGTGACTTCTCTGTCTGACCCTGGAAAATCACTCTGCATCCAGAGCATCTTCAAAATAGAGGATGAAATAAAATTACTTCTAAGATCCTTTTAGCTTATTTGGTTTATATTTTCTTTACTATGGGATCAAATTCCATTAAACATCAAGCTAGTGGCTCAAAATATTTCAAATACTAGAACTTCATTGCAGCAAATCATGCTAAAAATAGAAATTTAATTGCAATAAGATTTGATGTATGCATTAGTTACATGCTACAGTATTTTAATTTTTTATTTCCATAGGTTTTTGGGGAACAGGTGATGCTTGGTTACATCAACAAGGTCTTTAGCGATGATTTCTGAGATTTTGGTGTACCTATCACCCGAGTAGTATATACTGTTCCCAAATTGTAGTCTTTTATCCCTCACCCACCTCCCATCCCTTCCCCTGTCAATGAAGAGTAATATTTTGAAAGGAATCTTTTCTTCTGAGCAGGTCTCAAGAGTGAGCTTAGAATATTCAGTAAATCATGCTCTAAACAGATATGCTGTCATCCAGGCTTTTTTATTCCATTTATAGAGCACAGGCAGAGTAGACTGAGCATAATTTTTAAGGGCTCTAGGATTCTTAGAATGGTCAATGAGCATTGGCTTCAACTTAAAGTCACCAGCTGCATTCACCACTAACAAGAGAGTCAGCCTGTCCTTTGAAGTTTTGAAGCCAGACACTCACTTCTCCTCTTTAGCTATAAAGGTCCTAGATGGGACCTTCTTCCAACACTGTTTCATCTCCATTGAAAATCTGTTGTTTAGTGTAGCCACCTTCATTCCATCATCTAGCTACCACAGCTAGATCTTCTGGATAACTTGCTACAGCTTCTGCATCAGTACTTGCTACTTCACCTTGCATTTTTATGTTGCTTTTTTCCTTAAAACTCATGAATCAACCTCTGCTAGCTTCAAACTTTGAAAAGCATTTTTCAAAGTTTTTTCTCTTCAAACACTGCAGCCTTCTCTGAGCCTTCATAAAATTGAAGAGAGTCAGGATCTTGCACTGAATCAAGCTTTGGCTTAAGGGAATGTCGTGGCTGGTTTGATCTTCTATTCAGATCACTGAAACTTTCTCCACATCAGCAATAAGGCTGTTTTGCTTTCTTAGCATTCCGACATTCACTGGAGTAGCACTTTTAATTTCCTTTAGGAACTTCTCTTTTACATTCACAACTTGGTTAACTGTTGCAAGAGGGCTGGCTTTTGGCTTGTCTTGGCTTTCAATCTTCCTTCCTTACTAAGCTTAATCATTCCTAGTTTTTGATTTAAAGAGAGACACATGTAACTCTTCCTTTCACTTGAACATTTAAAAGCCATTATAGGTTTATTAATTGGTCCAATTTCAATATTATATCTCATGAAGTAGGGGAGACCTGAGGAGAGGAAGAAAGATGTGGGAACGGCTGGTTGGTGGAGGAATCAGAGCACACACGAACATTATCAATTAAGTTTACCGTCTCATACGGATACGGTTCATGGCACCCCAAGCAGTAACAACAGCAGCATCAAAGATCACTGATCACTATAACCAATATGATAATAAAAAAATTTGAAATTCTGCATGAATTACCAAAATATGACACAGAGATACAAAGCGTGCACACGCTGTTGGAAAAGTGGTGCTGACAGACTTACTTGATGTAGGTTGCCACAAATCTTCAATCTGTAAAAAATGCAGCATCTGTGAAGCACAATAAAGTAAAGCACAATAAAATGAGGAGGTAGGACCTGCACACAGTGGGAAGCAGAGAGAGGTGGGCATGGGTCCTATGGAAGCACAGAGCTGGGGCGAGGGGGACTTCATGAAGACATCCCCTGAACTGGGCTCTGAAGGATAAGTAAGTTAGGAGAATAAATGTAAGGAGTTTCAGCAGACAGAGCTGGGGGGAAAAAAAAAAAAAAGAATTCACAGACATAGTTTTCACAGTTATAGTAGATTAAATACCTATTAGTACCAAAAGGTTTTTTGTTTTGTTTTGTTTTTGTTTTTTGACAGAGTCTCGCTCTGTTGCCCAGGCTGGAGTGCAATGGCACGATCTTGGCTCACTGCAACCTCCAACTCCCAGGTTCAAGCAATTCTCCTGCCTCAGCCTCCTGAATAGCTGGGATTATAGGCATGTGCCACCACGCCTGGCTAATTTTTGTATTTTTAGTAGAGATGGGGTTTCACGATGTTAGTCAGGTTGGTCTCGAACTCCTGACCTTGTAATTCGCCCACCTCAGCCTCCCAAAGTGCTGGGATTACAGGCACATTTTCAGATGAGCTAACAAAGGCACACAGCATTTAGATAAGCTGCTCAAGGTCTTCTGGGCAGAACGCGACAGAACAAGGATTCATGCCCAGGTCACTCCTCCCACCGTACAGCACTATCTCTACTGAGCTGAAGGCTGTCTAGAGATGTTCTAGTGTACTCACCAAACAATCCCACCATTTAGAGACCTGCAAGGAGGTTACAGGACAGTTCTGATGTCCTTCAGCTAACAGCATACCAGGAGTGGATCCCATATTTCCTATTCTCCAGAAAAGCATGTTCTGTAATCATTCTGACTCATACCAGATACCCTCTTTTTGAGAGATATTAAAATATTCCCCTAATTCAATTCAAAACGGACATAACAAGAATGAGGCAAATGCCTGTGCCTCTGCACTGAGATGTGCCTGAATTATGCTTTCATGGGAGATAGGACAAGAGATGTCTCAAATATATCCTGCGTACTACTTGCTACCAGCTAACAGAAGTAACAGGATTTCATGCATTCCTTTTGACTATCATCATTTTTTCAGCCTCCTGCCTCTCAGTAGGGCAGTTAAAGCATTAAAACTGGAGTCAGCAAGCTTTCTCTGTAAAGGGCCTAAATATTTCAGGCCTTGCATTCCATAAGGTCTCTGATGCAACTGTTCAATTCTACCACTGTAGGGAGAACAGCCACAGAGCATACACAAACGAATGAGCATGGCTGTGTTCCAATGAGGTTTATAGACAGAAATTTGAATTTCATATAATTTTCACATGTCATGAAATATTATTATTATTCTGATGTTTTTCAGCTGTAGTACTTAGAAAGGTATATCTTATGGGCTACACAAAAACAGGTGGTAGGCCCCAGAGTCTGGTGACCCTGCATTAAACCAAAAAAGTATTAACACTACCAGTCAGAAGAGAGCAGAGGACAAGCAGGGAGCAGGTGGCCTCTCCCTCATCCATTCTGGTGCCACTGGTTCAGGAAGCCTTCTTGGGCCACCCCCCACTCCCACTCAGCTCAGGCCTCCCACTTCTATGTTGAGCCTCCCTGACACTTGAGCCTACCTCTATCTTAGCACTTACCATACATAACATGTTGTAGTTGATTATTCAATTATCTGTATCTCCCCAATCAGGAGAGCAAGCAACACTTTTGTTTTTTAGTTTCTGTATTCCTAGCTGACACAGATGCTCTAAAAAATATCTGGGAAGGGAGAGAAGGAAATAATGAGAAAATAAGCTCAGAATATATTTTTTTTTCTTTTTTTTTTTTCATAGAGATGGGGTTTCACCATGTTGGCCCAAGCCCAGGCTGGTCTCAAACTCCTGAGCTCAGGTGATTGGCCCACCTCAGCCTCCCAAAGTAATGGGATTACAGGTGTGAGCTACTGTGCCTGGCCTGAAAATATCCTTTTTATTTTTATTTTTTCAGAGACAAGGTCTCACTCTATCATTCAGGCAGGAATACAATGGTATAGTCAAGGCTCACTGCAGCATTGACTTTCCAGGCTCAAGTGATCTTCCCACCTCAGCCTCCCAAGGAGCTGGGACTACCAGCGCACACAACCACACCTGGCTGAATTTTCATTTTTTGCAGAGACAAGGTCTCCTTATTTTGCTCAGGCTGGTCTTGAACTCCAGGGCTCAAGCAATCCTACCACCTCAGACTCCCAAAGTACTGTGATTGTAGGCGTGACCCATAGCACCCAGCACCTGGCTAGAAATTATCTTTAAACAGACACTAGGGAGAGGCTCAAGGTCTTGATAGTGGCTCAATGACATACACATAAAACAGGTTAAATCAGTGGTTCACCTGTGTTTAGCATGTTAACAATCTATGCTGTTTATGTTCCGTAAGTATGCACCAACCCCTTAGTCTATTCTCTTTACTTCTACCTCCTTCAAAGCCAGGCATCTGATTACTTGTTTAGGCTAACACAGATGAGAATAATCCAAACTTAAGTTTAAAATGACCCCACATGTGCCAAAAAAGCTTCAGAGTACCCTGGAGTTCTGCAGAACCTAAATGGAAAAAACATCCTACAAACACTAGTCTCAACAGTGAATGACAGCTTCAAATGATTTAAAGCCACAATTACCAGACATAATAGGGAGGTACGTGGAAAGTCATCATTATCACATAAAGCATCAAAGAGGAAACAACATCTTTTAATCACAAGTTGAGGGCTGGTCTTCTAACTCTAATGCAGGGTCCTTAACCTTTCCTTTCCTTTTTTTTTTTTTTGAGATAGGGTTTCCCTCTTGTTGCACAGGTTGGAGTATGATCTCTGCTCCCTGCAACCTGCCCCTCTGGGATTCAAGCAATTCTCCTGCTTCAGCCTCCCGAGTCTCAGGGATTACAGGCACCTGCCACCATGCCTGACTAATTTTTATATTTTTAGTAGAAACAGGATTTTACCATGTTGACCAGGTTGGCTTCAAACTCCTGACCTCAGGTGATCCACCCACCTCGGCCTCCCTAAGCGCTGGGATTACAGGTGTGAGCCACTGCACCCAGCCTCCTTAACCTTTTCAATGCCAGGATCCCTTTGGCGTTCTGGAGAAGTC